TTCAAATCAAAAAATGAATACAAAATTGCAGGTCTAACTGGAGAAATATGCACTACTGATGAAGGCCATTGCACATGATAAAACATTTCTGTAACTGAGGGACCTCAAAAGACAACCATCTGCTGCTTAAATTTATTTGTCTGTTTGTTATGATATTTGTGAATGTGATCATACACAAAAGACTAAATTCCTACACCCACACTTAAAACTCTCTTCATTTTCCACTGTATTTCATATAGTTGTGTTAAAAGCTTTTAAATAGGTTACTTGTTTGTGAGTTATCAAGTAGGTGTTTGAAAAAAAGAAATACATTTCCTGTTTGAAAATACAAACTGCCTGTTAGAATATTCTAAATTTTGAAGGAAGTCATATCTCACATTTCACATAAAAAATCCCAGAAAAAAATATTCCAAAAATATGATTCCAAGAAATATTTCCAATATGTCTTTCAACCATGTAGAACAACTTTCTGGGTACCCTCAGAGCACACATTGATTATTTTACATATACTTCGAGATACTGAATTTCCCGCACATCCTTTCTTTCCCCACATTTAAGAAACAGGCACATACCCATACACAGTGATCATATAAATAAAATGAAAACGCATATACAAGTTATTTGGCAACTGTAATGGTATCATTCCTTTTCTAGTCCTCCCAGTTCTCCATATGGGAACTATGTCTTTGAATTCATTATCTTTTGCCTTTTAATCGATTTTCATTTATTTTTATTCTGTCATATGAGATAATTTCCTAACTGCTCATTGGATTTGTTGTGGTAAGTAGAATTCAAAACCATTAATGCATTACAGATTTTTATCTCCGATCAAACATGGAAGGCTGTTAGGATTCCAATGTGGAGCTCAAAAATCACTTGTTGACTTACAACATTATCTATCATTGTGATTAAAAGAGATTCTTCTTCTACACAGATAGAATTAAAACAAAGTCACTATATTATTGCCACATAAAGATTATATTACCATTGTATTTCATTAAAAATACTCATGTTTTAATTCTTTTCCAGTCAACATGGATGTAACTCAAAAATTAATATATGTAGTTATTTCATGAAATACTTCTGTCATTCCTCTTAAAGCTGTTTTGGTACTGATCGGTAAGATATATGCTGATACATTTTTTTCCCAACAGATCAAAGGCCTATTTCCATTTTTTTTTTCTTTTCAGTTTTAAACAAATGTTTTAAACCAATGCAGTATGAATAGAGTTATCCACATATAAATCTAGGCTAACAACACTATGAATCAGAATTATATTTTCCTTATTTGTTCTGTTATTGACTCACAGGAGAAACTGATAAAACCACAGCAAAACACTTAATAAATATCTGTGCATTAGAAACATTTAATATAATTATAATTGCTTAGCTGTGTAGTCACCAAGCAGACCTAATGAAAAATGTTCTAAAACATTTTTAGCTGAAAGGAGCAATCTATTAAATTACACTTTAGAAGTGAACTTTGTATGATCTATTAAGTTGCACTTTAGGAGTGAACTTAGTATGCATTTGCAAAAGTGCAGCTGAATATCTAACAGGGTATCTAAAAAATCAGAGTTTAACAGCTAGCTAACAACCTACCCAGGATATCCCAGTGGAGGTAAAAAAAACAGTATGAAGTTAGCAACGATTCTGGAGGCAATATTATGCTATAAAGTATAACTACATGTTATTTCTTATACCTATGTTCTATGTATCCATGTTTTAGTATGTAAGTATACCCTGTGCATCAGGAGTAAAGATTTGGGGGTAGAGAGAGCGCACCAAAATTCACAGTCAGGGACACCACAGATCTGTAGAATGGATCTAAGTATATGAGATCACAAGATTTAATCAGAAACTACTGAATTTCAAATAAACAGAGGATAGTAAGGAGTTTGGTGTGTTAAAACTAATCCTCCAAAAGTGCACTTTTTTTCAAAGGTACTTCAGTAGTTCTCATATAATGACAAATTAGTGTGAACATATTCATTTCTCTACATCCATATTTACTTATGTTCTAAGGCTGACCAATGAAAAAATGCAACATTTCTTTTGCATGTATTTTGAAATTTTTGAAATTGCACTTTACAGGCAGTAAATTACAGGTAGTACATTTTACAGTAATCTACAGGTGGTTACATTTGTTCAGAAAAAAAATCAAGAGACTTTGTCTCACATTTTTATTTTGCTTGAGAACTAATTTTTGCTTATCGTGCATTGACAGGTCTCTCCTCAGAACATTAGGAGAAGCAAGGTTGGTTAATGATCTTAGATGAAAAAGGAATGGTTAAGTCACTTCATGATCCAGAATGAGTTTGTGAAAATTTTCTAATACATATTGAAACCTACATGTTGAAAGACTGAAAGATTTATGGCAGGTCTAGATGATGATTATTTCAATTCCTCTTCTGCAGAAATACTTCTGCAAGTATTTAAGAAAGGGCAAGACAGATCTTTGTGCAAAATACTCTAGGTGTAATTGGCTTTCCTTTAGGCAAAAGATATTTAGGTCTTTTTTGAATGGGACCACCACACAAATGTTTGGTTTTCATTGTTGTTTTTTTCTCCATCCAATCCTAAAGAGCCAACCACTTCTAAGATGCTTTTTTCTTCAGTCAGTAGAGCTGGATCAGCAGATGGAGATGGTCAGGCAGAGAAAACAACTCCCTGAAATACCACTTTCTTTTTTTGAGTGTTTTAGATCACAAAAATTAAGGGTTCTGACTGTATAATTAAACTGAGATCAACCTGACTGTGAGTGTTTTGCCATGCAGGATGCCTCTCTGGTCTATTTTCACATTTATGTAACCTCTATTTCTACCTACCTGGGCACCAGCTCTTTCACTGTCATGATAATCCTGCCAATTTGTATCTACACAGCTTGTTTCTAGCCTTCACGAGGTTGAACTTCTTGTTTAAAATAGCATCCTGTCCTTTACTACCAAACAAGACTTGGCTTGTTCTTCATTTCCATTACTTTTAAAATGTCTATTGGAGTTTTAACACAGGGAAACACAATGTTTTCTCTAGGACATGTTCCAATTTCTTTAAATGTGCATAGAGGGATTTAAAAGTTCTGAAATTTTTAAGTGTTTTCTGTAGCACTTCTCCCCAGAATTCACGTATCAGAATTTGAGCTTTCCTGTCATTTCAGGAAGATCATAATGCATCCTTTCTTTCCACCAGCCCCACAGCAAAACAAAGCTATAAAAAGATTCCCAGCTGAGGACCAAACATAACAAGGGCCAGCCTTGGAGAACCTGCCAGGACTACTGATAACAGCTACACTGGGCTCCACATCAACTTTAACTCTTGCAGGATGATATTTTGCATCAGTACTCATTAAGAGTGCCAAAAGATTGTGCTGATAGTGCTGCAAATCAAAACCCTCTTTATAAGATTAATATCCTATGTTTTCAGATTTGCTTATGAAGAATACATGCATTTCACATAATTTTGCAAGATCTTTAAAACTCTTTCCTGTTTCACAAAAGCAAGATTCTGTATATCAGCACAAGGTGTTACATTTTTTGTTCATCGAGATGACTCTTCTTCCTATGACCAGTAATTGCACTACCGAGTTTTGTATACTCTAAAAAGAATTTTATTTTGCAGGGCAAAAAGAATTGCTACTGGTATTCTGATTTTATTATGCTGGTTTCAAATAATTTACTAATTTACTCCACCAATTAATTTATCTACAGATCATATTCACTTACTGTTTTTTTCCCCTTGTCCTTGGTTTATTGTCAAAAGAGCAAATGTGTAGGAAATGAGTCTTCCTCCACCCCTCCCTTCTAATGTTGGCAAAGACTACACAGAAAAAAAGAAGGTGACCATGTATGGCTACAAGGCACCAAAAATCCTTCTTTTGAAAAAAAAAATTCCTTTTTATAACTAACTCTCAATCAGGCTGGTTTCTATTAACCTAAAGTTGCTTTCTGCAGTAACAAAATATCAAAAAAAATCCATTTATTTAATCTCTTTATTCTAAGTAATATAACTGCACTGTAATTGCTTATTTTGTTTCCATGATATATTTTAAACAGGAATATTTAAAGTTTTTTTTTTTTATAATCAATTATTTGTTTCAATATCAGACCTCCATTCTCAGGTACCTTTGACCCAGATTTAAACAATATCACTTTTAATTGCGAGTGATCATTTGAATATAAACAACATCCAACTTTCAGAGGGTCTGAACTTCAAAAGATTTAACAAGTTATTTTTCTCCTTTGTTACTCTCAAATGCTTTTCTAGACTAATACGTAGAATAGTTGCTACAGGTTAAAAAAAAAAAGCATATTAACATTCTATCTCCTGATTTTCTAATACAAACTTTCTTGTTTATTTTCTGAACTGAAGAACTGAATACAGCTTTCATAAACTAATATGACTTTTAATGGACTTTTTCACTTTTGCTCTAAAGCGGTTCATGTAATGAGTAAAAACAATAGATCATGAGGGATATTTTCTTCACATTCATTTTGTCTTCCTTTTCAACCAAGTGGCAGGGAAAACCCAAAATTAATGTTGAATGACCAATAACCATTACATGTTTTAATGTGAGTTATCTTGAGAATGCCAAATTCAAGTAAGGGTTCTTCCAACTCATGATCTCTTTAAAATGTTCATTGGCAACAATATTCAGAGCTGGATCTGATACATAATACCACAGTCTCCAAAGAAAAAAGAATGGAGGCACCTGTTTTTCCTCTAGACTAAGTTAGTCTTTCCAGCTAGCCTTATTATTGTGTAGTTATAAAGAATCCAGTATTACTCAGAGCCGTAAATTTTTTTTTGACTTACATGCTATATATCAATACGCGTCACCATTATTAATAATAAAAACAATAAATTCCAAAATTTCTAATCAAAATGAAAAGCTACCTTAAAAAAAGGAAAAAAAAGTACATAATCAACAAAAAAGTAAATTATAGTTGTTATTATTACACTCTAACAAATATATTACGATTTGTTAGGATTCATGTACTTACTTGTGACCCATTTCGTGGGCAATGGTGAAAGCAAGATTGAGACCATTGTCCTCTGCAATAATGCATTTCCGCTTTTCACTGCACATTCCACTCAAATATGCAATACCTAGGAAATATAAGCACCATGATCAATTATTTTTGTTTTTATTACTAGAAGAACAGATAAGGTATTACAGGTCCCATATAGGCCTAAAACTTTAATGTGGCCAGAACCATCCAACTAGATAAGCAGGTACCTGCAATGGTTTACCTGCTCATAAGCTTCAATATCTGTTGGTAGCACAGAAGTGGATAAAGTCAGAAAAGAAATCACAAGGCATTGTACCATTACCTAATTACACAGACTGTAATGTGCATGGAAAAGTTTGTACTTTTTTACATTCCAGTGTTCTTTCAGATAAGATAACTGTTCAGATTTCTATACTGTTATTGTAAAATTTATTTTCATTTACAATAACTCTGGGATCCGTATTTCTGTTCTATCATGGAGTATTAAGGTATACTTTTAAACAATAAACTTTTCCATGCATCATCATTAACTACAAACATGGTATTCAGCATGCTATATGATTCAAAAAATGTATATAGTCAAACACTACAGAACAAGCAAATTCCTTAGCAGACTGCAGTCTGACAAAAATATTCATTGCAAATGTTAACATACATCTAGCACCTAACTTTTGCAATAACTAGCATCCTAAAAGGTAGACTCTTGATTTCAAATTCAAGTTTCCAAAAAGTAGAACATCTGTAACTGTGAAATTTTAAGGAACTTAAAACTGATTTTTCTAAGGCATAAGTACATTTATAGGGGACATATGTTAGCCACTTACTGCTTGAAATCTTAGAATAAACAATAAAAATACTGTTTCAAATGCTTGGCCTAGTACCCAGGAACACCCCTTAGAAGGAAAGGAAAGGTGCCCTCTGGATTAACATGGAAAAGATACCCTCTGGATTAACGTGCTGATGCAAAAGTCATTTGAAATGTTTGACAGTGCTTGAAATTTAGTTATAATTAGCACTCTAAATTACCATATGATAATATAAATATGCATTGTGTTCTGCAAACGCAATGATTTATTCACCACATGGATGGTAGTAGACCCGTTAGTAGTCTGCCAGTGTGATTCTCAGCAGATTTGGATGAAAGCTTTTGGACATATTGTTCTTACATAAAAAAAAATACTGTTCAGGACTGAGGACTTATTCAGATCTGAATGAGATGGGATAGTATGCATTTTCTTATTAGTTTCACAAAAGAGAAAAAAAAATGGGAGTAAAAGGAATTTGGACTGCAAAAAAGAGTCCAAAGACCATGTTGAAAGCGAAAAAAAAAAAGTCATTCTCCAAACAACATCGCATGCTAAATGTCTAAGTATAAAACACAATTTAGCAAATGAGAGAAGTAAAAATGCTCTGAAATGCAATATTATATTCCACATATTATGTTTCAATGGTTGAAATAAAAATTAGAAAAAAATACATTGCAAGAGCATTTTGTGTCCAGTAGATCCACGATTGTGTGCATTTTCTTTTAGGTTTCCAGTTTAGTAAGCTGAAAAAAAAACCAAAGAGTTGTTCTTAATCACGTAGCTCTGAGTAGGAGTAGAATTGATAACAATACTGAAAAGAACCATACATTGGGGCTTGGATTTCTGCCAACACCAATGAATTTGAAAGTGCTTAAACAAAATAGAAAAACTCACTCTAGACAAAATGCAGCATTTTATTTTGAAGTGTTGTG